CTGCCATAAACTTATATGCTTTCGCTGTGCTGGTGCATCCGGACATCTTTTTTGTATATTGGCCAACATCATGGAAGGCCAGCAAGGGAAATATTGAAAGATCTTGGCTCTCCTCAGCTAAAAAAAATATGAACACGAGTAACATTAGTCTAACGATTTGGGAAAAATGTTCAAATTGACATGATCACAAAATTAGGCGAGTAATATCCCTACAGTTATAGCAATGAATTAAACAATGCTTGTTGGTTCAAACACCATAGTTTTGTGGGGAATAAGCAGCCAAAATTCTATGTGTCGATAGTAAACAGCTCCTAAACCTAAGTGTAGTGAATTACCGTAGATTCTTTCTTTTTACTTGTATTAATCGTCCAAACGTTGTTATAAAAGTGCAACGAGAAGACAAGCTCTGTTTTACATACCTGACGGAGAAGCCATGTTTGTAACTCGTGGTCAACTTGACACTGATATTTTTTCCACGATCCCAGCTGAAAACCAACCTTTCCGATTCAAAGATGTGCTCAAAGCTATATTTCTATGCTAAACTTACTGGATTTGGAGAGATGGAAAGATATTTAACGCTTGAGTTCAGAATAATCGCCTTTCAACTACACACACTCGTGATGCTCAAGAGACTCGTACAATTTGTGTTTGCTGGAGAGCTTGCTCTCCAATTCAGCGTTGCTAACGCGTATCTAGGCGCGTATCTATTGAGCAAGCAGGCACTGATCATGTGAGAAGTATTCTGGGTGTTAGCAGCTTGAAAGATCGGCACCTTAACAAGATTGTCACAATTAAGCAAAGATGCAAATCTCGAAAAAAAAAATTTCTAAACCTTTAAGACTGAAACCAGATGAAAAGGCAAACGAGCTGATGAAAAACGCCGCAATGATAACAATTCATTTCTTGAATAGGTAATAAGTTGTGAAGAGAGAGATGAATGATGATGATATAATCCAACCAACTTTGAGATGATTTCTTGGTTAGATTCAGGTCCTGGATTTGAAGAGATATGAACATGCATTGTGAGATCCAGGACAAAAGGGTTTGAAGGAAGAACTAAACAGGTAGTCCCATGCTTGGCCTGTTTTGACAATGGTTGGAACACTACAAGACTACTGAGCTCTTGTCATTTTATCACCACATGAGATCCAATCAGGCTAAATTCACGTCTAGAATTGCCAGGAAGAAAACCATCAGAGAAACATCTGAGGATATCTTCGAAACAGAAGTGTTTAAAACCAGACTGAGTCCATCCATAGGGCAAGAAATCATCAGAATAGGCTAGACTTATAAAACAAATCAAGAGAACACGAATGACACTGGCAGCCATCTTGGCGTACATATATTATTTATTTTAAAAGTTAAATGATCAAAACATAATTTCTCATATATGACATTCCCAGGTTACAGAGACCAAAAATAAGTTACTTTCGGATACAAGCACACATAGTGGTTCTTTAGCTGGTTCCAACAGGGGTGGAAAAAAGTTTGTTAATAGTCCACAGACAACTGCTATCTGAGTGGGATATGGACTAAGAGTGTTGGGCAACATACCATCTAAAATGTGGTAAGTCTTAATTCTGCTAATAGCACGCTCCACTTGTGCCGCAGTCATTTGTTCTTGTCCAGCTAAGAATGGTGGCATGTTGACTGTCATGCCATCAGGGACAATTTTAGAAATATCGAGGCCATGGTCCACCATGACATTGTCGAACAAATCCAAAGCCCTGCTTTCCTTTGTAATTTGTTTATCAGAGACTTGTCCACCCCAGAGGTCTGAGGGGAAACTCACTTGGCCATTTGGGGTTACTCTTACCAACAGCTTCCAGGTGTTGTGGTGCTCATATTTAGACCATGTCTCAGACTGTACAAGCATTGCTGAAGCATGCTGACCAAAAACTTTGGTACAGTCTGAAATAATTCTAGTTATTGCATATCGAGCAAACTCTTGCGGCATATTCCTGTGAACCAATTCTTGTGCTGGAAATGGGAAAAGGTCTTGTAGTTCCACATATAGAAGATTGATCCATGTTATGCATATCCTTGACACCAGGCTCTGGTGATCCCAAATCTATAAGAGAGATCTTGTACAAATAAACCAGCCTTAAGTCTTATAAGTACAAGTAACAATTCATCCATGCATGAAAGCTTTCTTGAAGGCCCAGGTTTTTTTCTGTTATGTTTCACTTGGTACGGCTGACTCTCTCTTAACAATGTAACACCTTTCCAGCACTGTATGTTGGTCAACTTTGGTTCAATAAAATTGTAGAAGCTTATGAGTGCTCCATGGTTTGGGAATCCAGTAGAAAATAGACCTGCTGACTCATCATCTTTTATTTTGTCCATTGAAAACTGGCATGCCAATAAAATATCCTTCTCTTTCTCAACTTCAATTAGTTTTTCTCTAAAGTCAGCTGTTGTAGCTTGAGGACATCTGATTCCTCCCAGGCTGGTGAAGATGAAGCAGTGTTGACAGTTGACACAGGTGGTTGAACTGCTTGGACAAATAATTCCTCTTCATCTTCAAATGACTCTTCTTGAGTTGTGACAGTTGCTACTGGTACCTCTTGAGCGGGCAGTTTCTGTGTTTTTTTTGGTATTGAGCAGCTACATTGAGATAGTTCTACCGTATATTATAATGCAAATACTCATTATATTTTTTAAAAAAATAATATTATATGACTATATATTTAAGATTCAGTTCACAGATATTGTGTAAGACCACAGTGCACATAGAAATATAAATAATAACTTTTTAATAAAAGCTAAGTTTTAAGCTGTCTCACGATGTAGTCATGTGTGATGTAGATCACGACGTTTCAACTGCGTACAGCCAGTCTTCTTCAGGCAATGAGGTTGACTGGTCATGTGTGAGCTTAGAAGGCATGATGCTCTACTGTGATTAGTTTTTTTTTTCAACAGCTCTGATTGGTGCATTTCGATTCTTGCTGTTCACTCAGTGATTTGCTCCCTTGGTGGTCCACTGTTGTATGGCTCTTCTTTTGTTGTGTTTTTTGATCGTGGGCATCCACGCTTCTGGAATGTCTATTCCACTATCCCTGTTGATGTTGTTAGGGTGAAGTCTTGTATGAATTGCCTCTTTGACCCTGCGCGTGTAGTAACAAGGGTCACGATCAATAAACTTTGCTTCGTTCCAGAGTGGCTTGAGTCTGGTGTTGTGGGCATGCTCTAAAACGGTGGAGGTCTCAGTTCGGGCGAGTTGAATGTCTCCATTGTGCTTCTTAGCTTTTATTGTCATTCACCACAATGAATAACCACAACCTTTTCTACGAAAGAACTTTTTACTAAGGAGGAAAAAGTCACAGTATAAACTCTACAAGACCAAAACTCAAAAACCAAAGCATGCACTCTGACAAAAGGCTTTCTTACAGTCTCCAAGCAACAGCAAAACAACCATGCAAACATTACAAACCTTTTTCCCAATTCCCAGCAACCTGCTAACATTTTTTTGGAAGTCTTTGTTAATGGTACAAGGATATGAATTATTTAGAACCCGACTTTCTAAATTCTATTGTCAACTCCAATAGTGTACACGTACAGTGTAAGAAAGGGCATTTTATCACCAGCTTCTGGAAATGTGTCTTCGATTTTGTCTTCAGGAAGTTCTTGTTTTGTAATTTATCTTTTGCTTATATGTGTGTCTTTTGGTTCTGTCTTGCTTTCTGTACGATTACAGTTTCTCAAATTGTTGGTTCCACAGTTCTTGTCCAAAAAGATGTTTAATGAACATGACATATCTATCTCATAAGTTTCTCAGCAAACGAGTGCCTAAATCAAGGAACATCTGCAGTGACTGTAACAAAGAAGTACTACTGATCACATTAAGTCAGTCAAATTTTGACAGATGTAAATGATTGGTCTGTAAACAGTACACCACTTAGGCTTTTTTACTACGTATTCTTTGGAAAAATATGCTTTAAATTATATAGCTTACTTTAGAAAAGGCACTTTCTCACGATTTTCTTTCCTCAAATGTAAATTTCAACAAACTGAGCCACAACTCCATCACATACTTTAAAAAACGAAAAGAAGACTCTCAAGTAGGTTGCCATTTGTGTGTATTTCAAGTGTATGATTATGGACAATAAAAGAAAGGATCTTGCAATGTCATGGCAAAGTTCACTCCTAAACAACTAGTATGGAAGAACTGTCCACATCTTTTGCAGCCAAGCCAGTCTTCATTGTCATACATCTGACACACCTTATAAACAAGAACGTTGATTCTCAATTTGTTATTTGGGATTAAACACAATACACAGTGGTGACTGTAATGAAAAGAAAGGCATATTTATTGTACCTCAAAATGTCATCATAACAGCTGCCAACAGGTTGGATAGAAGCTTCATTCTCTCAATAGAAACATTGACCTTTGTGATCGGTCTGTTATCACACAAGTTCCTGGCAAGCTAACGATAGATCTTGCAGTTATATTATACATATGTAAGATTGGTTGATGTAAAATCTAAATATTCTAATTATGTTTCTTTAAAAACTGCTATGGAATGACATCGTTTTATTTTAACTGTTTAATTTAAAGATATTGATGGTATTGGTTTCTGATGAGCTCACTTATCTAATGCTTTATAATAGTCTAAAGATTACCTTTCAAACAAGTACTCCACGGTTGAATCCATGAGTTTGCTGAAAATGGGGTGGCTCAAGGCATGCCCACTCTTTACTTTTCCAGCCTGTTTTGATGTCAGCAGCCACACAACAAAAAGATTGGGACCATTGTCATTAGTGCTACTGGCTATAGCTACAAAAATGAGTTCTAAACATTGTCTTACTATTCATTCTTGGCAGTTGATGGAACCAGTTAAGTTAGGTTCAGTTAAGTTTATGTTACATGAAGTCACTAAATCGCTCATATATAAAGCTGAAAAATCATAAGAACAATGTGGCCAGTACAATGGCCATTCATAACTCTTACAACAATGAAACACAAGGTTGTGCTGGGAATACAGAAACTCACCTTGTGGTATTTATAAGTCTGTACAGGCTGGGATCGGAAGCTGCTATTATTTCATTTGGTTCTTTGTTTCCATAAATAGGATCAATTTAGACACGGGCAGATTCCTTTTTATGTAAAATCTTTGAACACTTTTGCTTCATGTCGTCAAACAAACTCTTGAGGCATGTGTAAAATGTTTAATTTATCTAAAGAATATAATTCAAATTTTTAGAGATGACCACTTTATTATAAAAAAAAAATGTATGGTATGAATAATATCCTCGACTTACCAGCAATGTCCAGTGATATTCATTGGAATAAGAATTTTTTCAATTCCATGGAACTTCTCGCTCATCCACAATCTATGTGTACTTGCCCCATGTTTCACCACCTGACAAAGGGTACTGTCTGCAGCAAAGATTTTTTGGTCAAGTACTGTTATTTTCCATAGTGTAGCATCAATGATCTACAAAGAGAAGCACAACAAATATAACAATTGAAGATATACAAAATTAATCTTTCAAATAGTTACTGGAAAACAGCACTGTTCACCATATCAGTTAACCATCCATCCACAAACTAGGGATCTCCTCTTTAATTTTCTGTTTCTTTTGCAGACAAAGTGCCGGGAGGAAGAGTGGATAGGAAGTGAGAAATAGTTACTTTGAATGGCCCTACTTCCAGTACTGAATCGCGTGTACCGGTGTTGACTTGTAAGATCTTAACTCTCCTCACTTCATCACACAACTGTACT